GGGTTAAAATAGTGTTATGGATTATACCTAGATGTCCCTCCAAAGCCTCATGTGCTCTTAGGCTGCACTCTGGGGAGACACTGAATGCAGGGCTGGTACAGCTGGCTTGCTGCTGGGAGGAGCCTGGTCTGAGGAGACAGCCAATGGGGGCGTGGCCTGGCAGGGTTTATCAGGCTCTGCTTCCTCCCTTTGCCCTCTGCTTCCTGGGTGCAACCTTGAGCAGTTCCTCTCGCCATGCCCCTCTGCCGTGCTGTTCCTTCTTTGGAGCCCACTAACCAGGGACTGAAACAGGAGCCAAAATAAAACTTCTCCTCCTTTATGTTGTGAGAGTTGGGGATTTTGTCCCAGCAATGAGAAATTTAGAAGATAGGGATGCAAAGAATTCCCCAGCATCACTGTTTGTAATAATGAAAAAAACCCATAAAGATCCATCTGTTAAGGAAGAGGTTAATCTGTGGTTAACCAAAACATCCATACTGGCAAGGGTTTGCCACTGCTGACAATTAAGCTGTAACTTGTAGCAATATGCAGATCTACCAGTGCTTTAGAAGTGTGCCACTACATTCTGATGAACAGGTAAAAATCGTACTGGTCCCTCACCCCGAACACATTATCTTATAGAAATGGGAGGTTGGGCTGCCTGGATCACACCATGCAGTGCAGAAGATTATCGTGCTGTAAGGAAAAGGAAGAAGCTCAGAACAGAGCCCAATATGTGTTACACTTTGCTTTCTGAAGGTATAACGGGGGGAGTGGGCAGCTCTGCTCCAAGAGTCATATAGTTCTAAGAGGGGGATGTTTTGGTGGTGAAAGCCATTGTTAAACTTAGTAGCTGAGTGTCTTCTAATCTCTTCAAAGGTGCTACCATAACTGACAGGTCTTGAAAGTGTGCTCCAAACATACAGCATGTTAGAACTCACTGGTAGAGCAAAATCCCTAATGGCACTGGAATATCGATGTATGATGAATAAAGGAAGCCAATTAGAAAACGATATGTAAAACAGAGTCCTATTCTTGTTACAAAACGAATATGCAGCCAGGTGTGGTGGTGCACACTTGTCATCCTGCCACTATGGAGACTGAGGCAGGCGGATAAGGAAACTTAGTGAGATTCTGTCTCAAAATAAATTTAAAAATGGACTGGGGATAAATCTCAGTGGTATATCCTGACATGCACATGGCCTGGGGTTCAATCTCCAGTAGAAAGAGAGACAGAGAGAAAGAGAGAGACACAGACAGACAGACATAGAGAGACAGAGATAGAGACAGGAAGGAGGAGGAGGAAAGAGAGAGAGAGAGAAGGGAAAATACAGGCATAGGAAACTAACTGGAGGACAAGAGCAAAGTGGATTCTAACGGTAGCTATCTCTGGAGGATGGGAATAGAGATAATTCTTCTTTGTCTATCACTTGTTATTCTTTTTCTCAAACTGATGCAATAAACAGGTACTTTAGTTGTTGTTATGGTTTACATCTAGATGTACCCCGGGAGCCTCAAGCACTCCTAGCAGGGCTTTTGGAAAGTGATTGGCTTTGGGGACTTAGAGCTGCCTGGTTTAGGAGGTGGGTCTGGTCAGAACAGGCTGTCACTGGGGTTGTGGCCTGAACCCCAGGGTTTGTCTCCCTCTCTTCACTCGCTCCTTCCTGTCCACCATGCCATCCTACCTCGGAGCCTGCTGATTATGGACTGACATGTTGGGAGCCATTCTACATAATTTTGGGGAAAAATCATTTCACAATTAAATTATGACTAGGGCTGTCTGAGGCCTCAATGGTCCCGTGATGCTGTGACTCTCAAGGGCAAGATTACATCAGCCGAAGACATCCTGAGCAGTAATACAAAAAGAGAAAGGTCTCACCTGGCTGGGGAGGGACAAATTCCTTATCAGCTTAACTCATCCCACCTACTGTTGTAAGAACATTTTGCTCATCTCATTGGCCTCTTCAACATAAGCTCCTCCTTGACCTAAGATCCTCATCAGGGTAACATCCTCATTGTCATAGGATTACTGTCTGAAACATCTGATACTTCCTCGATTATAAGATCCTCCTCAATTTAGGATTACCGCCACCCTCCGAGTTGTCTGATACCCTCTATGAGCCCAATAAATGTGGCAAGCTTGGAGAGTCTTTGTCTTTACCGGCTCTGAGGCACTGATCTCCAGGCTCCCCATATACTTTGAAATCATGCAACTCTGTTGTCTTTTTTTTTTTTTTTTTTTGGTACCAGGGAACGAACTCCAGACCTTGTGCTTGTGAGGCAGGCGGCGGAGCCACCGAGCTAAATCCCTGGCCCTGTTGTCTTTTTTCTTTAGCCCTTACTGTCCATCCCCCTTTCTAGGCAGTCGGAGATCACGTGAGCCACCATCAACCTCCCCTCCATTTAACTGCAGGAGTCAGATACTGTGCCTCAGCACCTGAAAGTGACTTAGATGGTTGTGTTGACACAATTTAACACAAGTTATGGATTTGAAAACATTAGGGGGCACACTCACAGGTGCTCACACATGTACAGCCTCCTTCTTGACCACACACACCCCAACCCAAAGTAGAGCAAGACTAGTATTTTGTTGTTACTTTGAGTCCCTACAAAGGCCCTGCTGCCCATTGCACCCATTCAGAATTTCCCGGGAGGTCGGTGGTCTCTGGAATTGTCCTGTGTGAGACCACAAGGCAGCCCTGTGGGCAGCTCCCTGATTCTCTGGGGAGCAGGCAGAGGCTGTGGTGTCCCGCCCTGTGCAGCCCGAGGAAAGGACTGGCAGTGAGCCGTGACTGTGGAGCGGCTGTGAGAATGTGAGCAGCCGAGGAGCTGCCACTGCTGTCTGGTGGTGGAGACGCCCTGCTCATTAAGGGCAGCAACAAGCCTGGGCCCCAATGCCCCCACTACCCCGTTGGCCCTTCCCAGGCTTGGTCTTCACTGTCTGTCCCTCCCACCAACAGGGCACAGAAGTGTCCGTGCGTGACACGGCTAATCATCGACTCACATCTAACACGCCAGCCAGCGAGAGGCAGCTGAGGCCAGCTATACTCACTCCTGCATAAATGTGATTTAGCGGTGACAACAGAAGCCAAAGCAACTCTCTATCAGGAAACCCGGGGGCAAACAGCAAAAGAGCAAGTCCAGGTTCAGAATGCCAAGCAGTTTACTGAAGATGCCACAGAAGTACAGGCCATAAGATAATGAGTTAGGGACTGGGCAGCAAGATGGGAAATGAGGGCTGATAAGGCCAGTGGCGAAGCCTTTTGAACTGCACTCACTGAATGAATGGAATGTGGAATAACCGATCTTTTTCACAAAGGGGATATGGTCACCTGGTGCCCGAAAGGATGTCAGTACACCACTGCCATCTTTGCAAGTATCTGCTTCATGTTCAACTCTACCACTCTGTGTACTTGTCCCAAGACTGGAGGGAGGAATGTACTCCTCCTTGAACAATCTTCAGTTATGTGAAGGTAAAGAAATAGATTACCCAATTATTAAGGACAGGTCGGGAATTGAAAATGTTCAACTGCCCCTCTCCTGTTTAAACACACTGTAAAGTTAATATACAGTGGACCCATGAGTTATGACCAGCCTGACATACGAACAACTTGGGTTATGACCAGAATTTTAGTTTTAACTTACGACCAAAGTCTTGAGTTACGACCCGAATGTTGGCCTCTTGTGCTTCCAGATGGTCTCAGATACAGATTTAACCCTTAAAGAGCTCTGGAAGGAACATTACAACATCCTTTGCTGTGTGGGGTTAATTGAGATATCCTGGGCCAGTGTCTAAGGACCCTGAGATCTGCCTATATATAGGAGACAGACTTTGAAGGCTGTGTAGAGGACCCTGAATGTTCATTGACCAACCTGAATTACAATCAGTCCTCGCAAACGAATTGAGTTCGTAAGTCAAGAGTCCACTGTAATCACAGAACTTGTTGAGGCTTGGTAATAAATGCATCAATCCCCTACAGCAGTGATGGCAAACCTTTTAGGACTGAGTGCCCAAAGTGCAACCCCAAATCCACTTATTTACTGCAAAGTGCCAACTCTGCAATTAGACCTGAATGCTCGGCTCCTGCAGTGAGGCTAAGGTGACTTGATTTGGGTGCCAACAGCGAGGGCTCTGTGTGCCCACTGTGGCACGCGCGCCATAGGTTTGCCATCGCTGCCCTACAGCCTCCTAATCTTCAGGCACTATTCACTTGGTCTTCGAACTACATGTTCAGCTGTCAGCAAACTGACAGCTACCCCTGCCGAGAGCTCTGGATGCTCCCTTGGCAGACATCATTGCTTTAGTCATCAGGAAGATCTTGGAGGTGGGTACTATCATTTCCCTATTCTACCAGTGAGGAAACTGAGGCCCAGAGAGGGCAAGTAACGTGCCCAAGGCGATGCAGCTTGTGGGTGGGGGACAGGACTGAAGCTCCTTGGACAAGCCTGAAACGAGGGAGGAGAAGCCACACAGAGCAGCTGGGCAGGGTGTGCAGGGCCAGTGTGCAAAGGCACAGTTTTTGCTCATTCAACAGACAGACCACTCAGTCTCCTGCCCTCCTTTCCCGGGAATGCGGGATAGTCCACGTGAGACCACACTTAGGAAAAGGCCAGGAAATGAACGGGAAAGCACCTTAGAGACACCACGTGCTATTAAAGAAAGGGCAGGTGTAGCCACCTCACTCCTCAGGAATGCTCCACTTCAGTACTGTGGCGTCCAGGGAGAGGTGTGCACCCTGTTTTTTGCCCCAATGTAATGCTTTCGATAAACAGCACAGGATCACAGTCCTGGGTATGCATGCTGGTACTTGGCCTGATCTTTGCCAGGAGCTTTTGGGTCTTATGATTAACACAAACATCCTACCTGAGCTATCTACCTTAACTGGGGTAAGTAACCACCTCCCTGTTACTATCAATTCTGTTCCAAAGAAATGACTGCTGTCATTTTACACCCTTAATCTATGCAATTCAAGAATGAGGGGAAAAAACCCACAACTCTTTCTCATGAAAAGTGCACATTATAAATAGTAGTTCACTTTTTATTATCATCATCATTATGAACAGCAAAGTCCACAGTTCAGTTTCCAGGCAACATAAAAATGGATGTTTTATGTACAGGACACCTGCATGCAACGGGATAACATGGTACTTTTTTTTGAATGACTACGACTTCCTTGTCTATTAAAAGGTAACCACACAGTTTAAAGCTGCACAATTACAATGCAATCTTCAAGCAATTAAAAATCATGGGCTGTTGAAACAATGTGGAGATCTACTGAGTTATACGGTATTTATTTTTATTTTTGGTTCTTGGTAGTGAACTCAAGGCCCTTGCACTGAGTTAGATCCCTGGTCCTTTAAAAACTTTTTAAAATTTTGAGACAGGGTCTTGCTAAGTCATTAAATTGTCCAAGCTGGCTGAAACTTTCGATCCTCCAGCTTCAGCCTCCCAGAGTGCTGGGGTTACAGGCATGGACCATCACACCTGGCTAACCTGGTCTTAAGTAATGTCAAGTAGAAACCTTGTTTTCTCTTACCATCTAGGGGTCACTGAAAAGAAAGGGCCAAAACAAACCTCCTGCTCTGGGGCCAGTCCGAGGCTGGAGGGGACCCATCCAGGGACATAGTTCACTCCAGCATGTGCTGCAGCAGCCCAGGGTCCGCCTCCGCCGCCTGCAGGCCCCTGTGCAGGCTCAGGAAGGTGGCCTGCTTCCCGTAGCGCTGCCGCCAGTGCACCAAGGCCTCCACCACCTGCGACTGCACGTTGTGGGGGTGGTTGGCCTTACAGCGGTAGACGTCTGTGTGTGACAGCCCCAGCGACAGCACCACGTGCTCCCACTCGGAGCCCAGCTTCTGCGCCAGCTGGCTGATCTGCCGGTCTGACGGGGAGCTGTTGAGGACGTGCGAGGGGATCCCAGGCACCGGGTCACCTAGGGGGAGAAGAGGCATAGGTGAATGGAGCCAGCAGGCACACCGGTGAGGACCAGGCAGAGAGGACGGTGGGGAGGGAGGTGGCGACGCTTCTGCTCCTGTGGTGTGGGGCTGGGCCTGGCCTGCCCGGAGCTACTCAGTACAACCAGGCTTCCGGGCTTACTGCCCTTTATCTCCCCGGCCCCTGTCACCTAGGTTTTATTTTGCTCTTTAATTTATTTAGATTTGGGGTTTCTCACGTAAGAAAAGCCATGCTGTATTTAAGCTTGCGTGTCTGACTTATAGCAAATAGGGACACAGACCTTTAGCAAAAGGGAAGAGGACCGAGGGACAGAGGGAGGGGAGGCAGGGAGCAGAAGGGGATGAGGAAGAGTTGGGAAGTGTTGTGTACATGAACCGACTCCCCAGGAAGGGTGTAATCATTACATACTGCAAACATGCACTCATACAAATAAAAAAGCACCCTTAGTATCTATGAAAAGGTTTACTACAGAAAATCTGAAAACAAGAAAACCAAAGTAACTAGAAATCCGACCAGAGAAACCCGCTGATCCTCATTTGGCCCATCTCTCTTCTACGTAAAGCATGCTGAGGCTTGCCCCATGCTAACTGCTCGGCGACTGGTTCCCCCCACTGTCTTCACCAGCAGCAGGGCCAGGTGTGGGAGAGGGGCTGGCTTCGGGCTCACTTCTGGTGCTGCTGCCCCTGCAAGCAGGGCTGGCCGAGGGAAAGGCTAAACCAGCAGCTCCCCTGTCCCCAGGGTGACGTAGGGACCATGACCAAGACAGGTGCAGGTGCCAACGGAGGCTGGAGCCTAGAGGCCGCTGCAAAAAATAAACCATAGAGGCCTTGAGGTGGCGGGAAGGGAGGGCCCAGGGAGCAGGGAGGGCCCAGGGAGCAGGGCGGGCCGGGTAGAGCTAAGCACCCTGGCTGAGCCTGCCAGATGGAGGAGGACGAGAGGCTGAATGTGCACTTCCTAAACCAGACCCTGGTCTTCCTGACGCCAATCTGCTAAACCTGTGACCGCGAGGAGCTGTGCCCAGTGTAACCATGAGCAGCAGCATCAGCTATACAGACGGGGACCTGGCCTACTGTGGGCCAGGGGAGCTCTGATGAGGAAGAAGGCTTCAGGCTAAGCCCTGACTAAGAGGAGAAGCAGTGGGGTGAAAGGCGAGGAAAGGGAGTGATGTGTTCCACCTGCATGTGCAAAGGCCCGGGGGCAGGAGAACAAGCCACAGCCGGAGTTCACAGAGTCTGGGAGGGCCCTCCAGGGCCCCAAGGTGATGGCGCTGTTTCCAAGTTAGGCACAGCATCACAGGATGTCAGCGGCTGTTTTAATTTAGGATCCAAGCAGAAGACCAAGGCCATCCTATTAGGAGACTTGGTGTTTTCTGCGCTCTCTGCCCCTGCCCTGCCCTTGGCCTCTAGGCAGTCAGCCGCCAGTACCTTAAGAACAAGTTGGCAAAATACTGTTCAGAACTTTCTCTAGTGTTTATCAACACTGCAGTTGCAAAACTTTGTATATTTTTATTAACACAGACTAACACATACATATCAGCGGGGTTCTGTGTGATGATACAGAGCTCACTAACCAAGTTCAAGTACCCTTTCCATACCCCTCCCCACACTGTGATCCCCACCCTCTGGAAATCACAATTCAACTTTTAGGTCAACTACTTTTTAGCTTCCACCTATGAGAGAACTTGTGTTACTTATCTTTCTGGAATCTTCTGGGCTTATGTAGTTAACATAATGTCCCCTAATTCCACCCAGTCTACTGAAAATGGCTGGATTCATTCTTCTTTATGGCTGAGTAGTACTCCAGTGTATCTATTCACCATATTCCCTCTACGCATTTGTGAGCTGCTGGCACCTAGGCTGACTCCATATCTTTGCTATTGTCAAAACCGCAATTTAAAAAAAAAGAACTAAGAATCCATTAGAATAATGATGATACTGCTAATCAATATTTTACAATAACAGTAACGCTTTTTTGGTTTTTATAAAATATGACTCTGTTAAAACATTCAAAGGACAAAAAAACTGCAAAGAAAAAAGCACATCATTTAAGAGCCCACCATCGGGTTCAGAGTTGGTGAACAATATTTTGGGCATCTCTTTATGCACATATACTGCTCAAAATAAAGGCAGATATAAATGATCTCATTTAAAATGATAATATGAGAGCTCTTCTCTAATAAAAACTATTTAAAGCTGTTTACATTTAACAAGAAAAAGCAGAAGTAAATGGAATACTGTTCTGACTGGCAGTTAAATACTTAAAAACACATGTACATGATTTAGCACAGAAAAACTGTGAAAACCTAGGGGTTAACTAACCATTTTCACATACTGTAAATGCTCTATAATAACACTTTATATGCCTCTCCTTTCCCTTTTCTTCACACCTCTTGATTTTTCTCACTTACATCACTTTTGTCAGCTGCCTAATACTTATGATTCTGTAACAATTATCCACATCCTGCTCCCCACTCCCAAGCTGTTGGGGACCACATTATAATGGCTGACTGCTCACCAGTGGTTTTGCTGTTATTAGTGGTTCTAAACCATAGCTTTTCTACTCCTGGGTCTGGTGCTTTGATTTGTGTCAACTGGTCCATTTCATCACAGAGTGGTCTTTTTCAAGAAATGGTCATGGTCATGCTATTCTCTGAGTTCTTTCAGGTCAAGACTGTTATTGACTTCACTGGAGTAATACCTTCACATTTAGGAAAACAGTTGTATATTTTTAAATACCATGCTTTTGAATTCTGAGTATAACTCACTATTACTTAAATGATTCTAGTCCCCTCCAAGTGTGTAGACTTTATGTTTTCTGGTAGGGAATGCTGGTGTGGCGAATTCTGATGCCAACTCAGTTATCCAACATTTTGTGCTCTTTGCCTTTTCTGTCTGGGCTCACAGTACTGAGGCTTTAGACCAGGGTATCTTTGCCCTTCGCAATGTATTTTTGCAGGGATGTGGCCTGATCTTCGACTAGAGTCAGTTCTTAATTCCTTTTAGAAAACTCTTCCTGTCTCCCGTCTTTGCATTCTTTTCTGCTCCATGTGTTGGAGGGGTTTGCCTTTCCTCCATGGCTCTCATTTCTCTCTCCTTATTTTAATCCTCTTCCTCTGACTGTCTTCTGCTTCCCCTCATGCCGGTCATGGGACTTTCAGCTACATCTATTCAGCTTTGTTTTCTGGTTCTAGGCTGGTATTGTATTTTTTTTAAGGCCTCAGAATAAAATTTTTAATTATTAATATATATTCTCAGTTATAGTTACTAACAGAGGCATCATAAATACTGAATTATTATAAATATATTATAAATATTCAGTTACATAAATTAACATGAAGAATTTCTCTTTTACAGTAGCTTATAATAGATTATTATAATTTTATCTTATTTTTATTTTTAAATTCATTAAGTTTATTGGTACATTTTAGGTATACAATATGATGACATTCATCATTGGGAATTTGTACCTTTACATGATGTATTTTGGTTCTTATTTTTTCCCCATTCTCCTGCCCTCCCTTCAACCCATCCATCTCTTCCTATTTACAAAGGCTTTGTTTCCATTTTTTCCTTCTCTCATATTTATTCCTTTCCCTTCTTCCTATTTCATATTATCTATTATACATTTTGATCCTCATTTACTCAAACTCATTTTCAGTTTCTCACATCTGAGAAATTATTCAGACACATTGTGTCCTATTTATTTCACTTAAGAGTATGGCCTCAATGCACATCCATTTAGCTATAAATGTCTCTGGTTTCTCATTCTTTATGGCTGAGTGGCACTCCATTTTATAAAAAAAACCCTACATCTTTAGTCACCAGTTGATGGACATTTGGGCTGTTTCCGAGTTTTAGCTATAACAAACTGTGCCACTATAAACATGGGTATGCATATACCGTTCTTATTCTCAATTTCTTTTCTTGGTGCTTCCTTTTAAAAATTCCATTCCACTCCAAGCCCATGAAATGGTTACCATTAAAAACACAGAAAGGAACAAGTGTTGATGAGAATGTGGAGAAGTCTGAACTTATGGTACTCTCGGTGGGAGTGTAAAATGGTACCATTGCCAGCTGTGAAAAACAATATGTGAGTTCCTCAAAAAAAGAAAAAAAGAACTAGTATACATCCAGCAATCCACTTCTGCATATAGAATTAAAAGGAGGGATTTGAAGAAGTATTTGTATACCTATTTTTATAGGAGCATTATTCACAACATCCTAGAAGTAGAAGCAACCTAAGTGTCCACTAACATGAATGAGTAAACAAAATATGGTAAACACCTACAGTAGAATGTTATTCAGCCTTAAAAGGGGAGGAAATCCTAACACATCCTACTACATGGGTCACCTTTAAGGACATCAGGTTAAATGAAATAAGCCAATTGCACAAGGACAAATACTGTGTGACTCCACTCGTGTGAGGTCTATAGAGTAGTCACATTCATGAGGCAGGAAGAAGAATTGTGGTTACCAGGGGCTACAGGAGGGAGGATGAAGGGATAGTGTTTGTTTAACAGGTATAGAGTTTCAGTTTTGCAAGATGGCAAGAGTTTTGGACACTGGCTGCAGAATAACAGGAATATATGTAACACTGCTAAACTGTACATTTAAAAATGGTTAAGCTGTTAAATTTTATATTGTGCATATTTTACCACAATTATAAATAAGAAAATAAATAAGAAGTAACTAGAATCCCATGGTTACTGAACTCTTCTACAGCATAATGTCCTCATGAGGCTGAGCTTTCTGGGCTTTGGCTTTCTTTCCTGCCAGGCCAGCTGTACGTCTCCTGGTGGAAGCTGTGTTCCTCGCTTTCACTCCTCCACCACAGCACTTCCGGGCTGTCACGACACTCACCATCACACTTATGGCATGAGCATCTCTGGCCAGACTTCTGCTTGCTCTCTGACAGGAAGCTGATGGACCTGTGACACTACCCTCCCTTTGTGGGGGACCCGCTATGCTTTTCCCCCTG